CAGCTTGTTTTCGGTTACCTGTCCTCCCTGAGGAATAAAGCATATTATCACTTGTCATCATTTCTGGTTAGGGCATCTCATGTAAGATCATGCCCAATCATTTTGGGGATTCGATCATGTTTGCTTGAGCGTGTGTACAGCATGACCCCTGGCAGCATGTTAGTAACGTGCAATACTCTTAAGTTATTATATAAAAATATTAGTGTGAAATTCACAATAACAGTTTCTCCTGTCCTTTCCGCTCTTGCGGTCACAAGGAGAAATCAATGACCATCGAAAACACATCGGACAACAATGACAGGTGTGACTCAACGTGTCAAGCAGCTCTCAGCTGAGTTTTACCTCAGAGCAGCCTTTCTCTGGCCCTCCATATTGCACGGCAGAGATGGTCAGGAGAGCAGAAACAGCGTCATATGCTACTAAGACTCAAGGAGAGTAGTCACAAGAACACTAGAGACCTGAGGCTAGTTCCTGGGCCACTGGGAAAACCTGCTTTTTGAACCTGAACTGCATCTGTGTCCGATCTCATTTCTAAATTCTAGAAGACAGCCAGACCGTGTGTGTCTCATTTGCAATTTTAATGCGAATCTGTCCCTTCCCATCTCCACGCGCATAACTCCCCCGTCCAACATATATGAGGCGTTTCTAGTTTTTTTTTCTTTTACAAATGACAGAGTTACTGCTGAGGATAGACTTCCTTCACTTACGCTGGAGTTTAATTATTAATGTCACTCGCTTGAATAATTGATATCACAATTTATTAATTGCAACAGGAACACTGGACCTAAAGTGACCAAGTAAAATAGAGATAATGTGTGGGCATGGATGTGGCTTTGACTTTCACAGTTAAAACAGTCAGTGTTGAGGCTACAGTATATGCACTCATGATTTACACAAGGAGAATAAAATCCTAAATTTACCACATTTATAGAAGGACTGAATTCAGTTTAGAGTAAGACCATTTCTAGTGCTTTTCATAAAACAATAAATACACAGACACATTAGCGAAGGTACATTATCATAAAAATAATCAGTGCAAATATATATATATATATATATATATATGTGTGTGTGTGTGTGTGTGTGTGTACACAGTGCAGGTTAGATTACTTGCAAATTGTAGTCCATTACTGATTTAAAATTACATGATGGAAATTGTAGTTTGTAAAGTAATCTATTGGATAACATGTATTAGGTAATGTATTTAGACTACTTTTGACCTTTACTCATAAGAAAATCTATACCATTCTTTCAAACTAAACATCATGACGTGTATTAAACATTGCAGTACAACATGGTTTCTAAAACTGGGGTTCGTGAATGAATAATGATTAATCAAATCACCAAAAATGTTTACTATGTCACTAATTAACTAGTTTTAAAATCAAAACAATCTAATTAAATATTTCAATTGTTTACTTTCAAGTCATGTGACATTAACAAGCATCAGAGAACTGTGAACATTTGAATGTGTTGTTAAATTATTGATTTATTAAAGTATTTGTATTACAATTATATAATCTGATTACGTAATCCAGATTACATGTAATTTGTTACTACCCAGCAATGTATGTATGTATGTGTGTGTATATATATATATATATATATATATATACACACACACACACACACATATATATGTATGTGCACAAAAATATAGTAAAACCAGCAATATTGTGAAATGTTTTTTCAATTTCAATTGAATAGAAATTTGAAAAGAAAAATAAATTATTTCGAAAAAATCTTACTGATCCCAAACTTTTGAATGATAAGGTATATAAGTATGATTTTAATGCACTAAATATTTACATTCAAGACACCCCTAAAAGATGAACCAGCAGTTAGTATTGTGAATATGTTCAGTGTATTGAAACAAAGGCATGCTACTTGTATTTTTGATGTGTCCTCTTTAATAATGCAACAAATCCGACACTTGATTTTTGAAGTGCCATGCATTCACATTAGCACATTACACAAACATTACCCAGTCACATTAGCATGAATATCATGAGTAAAGCTGTGCTAACTCCTGTTGCCTTTGTGCCTTTTCCTCAAAACTCAGAGCTGTGTGTGTTCTCACTACTTTATACTGGCAGTAAACATTCAATTCACTAACACTTAACACTTGCTGATTTCTTTTTTTCATGTCCAGTGAGACCACCTTGGCAATTGAATCGCCATTGGCTAGTAAATTTTTTTTAACTGAAAAACAGCACAGATCGCTTAGTGGAGAGTGAAACTCTGATGCGCTCAGTCAGAGAGTGTTCGGCGAGTGAAAATATATCTGAGCTAAACTTATACTTAGCCTCCAACTCACACACTGACGAGTAAAATCTGAGAATTTATTAGCAATTGGCTAATATTAGACATCATTTAGTCGCCAGAGTGAAGATTTAGTCGCATATGCGAGTGATTTACTCGCAATGTAGAGGGTTGAGATATGTGTAAATAATGTTGATTGATTTGATTTAATGTTGGTTTTAAAATCAGATATGAACACTTGTCATCATATCAGTTCTGAATTTTCTCAATGTGTCAATCATCTGCCATTTTCGCCTCAAATCCTGCTACTTTCTCTTTCTGTTAAAGGTCTTTCCTTGCTGCTGAATGGCTTTACTCTCTAGAGCTTTGGACTGTGATTGTCCAGTGGATAGACAGTCCAGACTTGTATTCTTCTGTGAAGAGCCTTCTTGTTGGAAACACCTCAAGATTTTGACAACATAGTTAATGGTCTTTTAAGAAGACCTCACTTTCAAGATGAATGAGGAAAAGGCAGTGGCAAGGTAGTTTCACTTCCATTATTGAAATTATCTATGTGCTCTGAATCAAAGGTCAAAGCATTTGTCAAGAGTACTTGAACATTGAGTTATAATAGTGAATTTACGGGCACTTCAGTTCCTGTTTAGGAGCTTTCCTTCACTGCTGCCTTCTGTAAAATTAATTTAAGAACATAAATAAAAGGGCCTTAAAAAGGGTCTTAAAAGGGCCATGGTGGCATATTTATTACATTATGCAACATAAATTATATGCTCAAAGTCAGCATAAAATCAAAACTGAGTTGCTTAGAACTGAAATATATGTGCTACTAACGCCACTAAATAGAATGTGTCAGTCTTCCATTGTTTGGACAAAGAGATATCCCAAGTTCACACTGTGTTACATCATGAAAAAATCTGAAGGTACCTTTATTCCATAGTCATATACAATGTCATTTAGAGGGCATGTGTATCCAGGTACATTTCCTAATTAAATACTGGATCCGTTTTAAATTAATAGCCAGTTAGACTGTGAAGACTGGTTATGGCAGCTACACGATCTTCATTTAATAAAACCAGAGCAGAGCAACCTGACGTATCACACTGCTTTATTCTCAATAACATGAAAAGCACTAAGCACCTCCTGTCTATGCCCAAACAGAAAAATCCTTTCCAGCAATCCTCGAATGTGCAATCACTTCTCATCAGCTTTTTTTTTTCAAACAGAAACAAGCGTCATAAGAGACTAGGTTTGTTTGTAATACTTAAAAACCCTCAAGTGCTTGCTGATGCTGATAGAACATGAGCCTCTGGTATGTACATGTGTATAGATTAAAGAGTCTACTAAGCATTAGCAGACGTAATATGCTGGGGAAAAAAATGATAAAAAATGCATCTGTGTGATATTTAGCTTGAGTATCAAAAACATCCTTCTAAAAAACGATGTGTGCGTCACAACAATAAAGAGACAGAGGAGTGCTGTAACACATTTTGTTTGTCTGAGTTTCGTGCTATATCTCAAACTTTATACTGTATCTTAAAAGTAATGGTCCTTTATTGGCATTGATGGTTCCATGAAGAACCTTTACCTAAATAAATCAATAAATCCACTGCTCTGTTGTCTCCTCTGAGGCTGGGACTCTAAACGGTGTTCTGTGCTCGTCTGTGCAGCCAAAGACAGAACAGTTAGCATGTTTTGCTCAAACTTTCGCCATGGCATTAGAGCTAGTACACCGTTGTCACTAGATGTTCACTGAAAGGTTCTTTGTGGAATTTTTTTTTTTTTTCCTATGGTGTGAAACCACCCTTCACTCTTACAAATAAAGGTTCCAAAAGGGGGGTTTCATAGAGATGCAGTAGAAGAACCATTTTGGGTTCCCCAAAGAACCTTTCAATCAACAGTTCTTAAAATAAATGTTTTTCTTATTGTGAGGATTATTTTAATAATCTAACCTTTTCTCACTTTAAACAACCTTTTGCGCAATGGAAAGGTTCCATGGATGTTAAAGGCTCCTCATGGAACTGGCAATGCCAATAAAAAATCTTTATTTTTAAGAGTGTTGTGAAACCTTTATTTTTAAGAGTGTAACATGAACATAATTTTGATACAATTTAAATTAATATATAATTAAACAAGAATTCATTGTCTAATCAAGTTTACTAAAGAATGATTTCACAACTATAGCTCATTTCTAAATAGGCAGTCATGGCCTAATGTTTAGAGAGTCGGACTTGTAACCCATAGGTTACGGGTTACTGGCTGCCCACTGCTCTGTCTCTCTCTGTGTGTGTGTGTGTGTGTGTGTGTGTGCGCGCTTGTGTGTGTGTGTGCATTTGGATGGTAAACAAACTCTGTGTGGTGTTCATGCAGCTTGCTTAATATATATATTTAATAAAAATACAAATTACAAATTCACTCAGACCTTTGGATACATTTTAGCTTAAATCTGTGTATATTGGTAAATAAATAAATGATACATACATATATACATATAAAATGTGATTTTATGTTACTATATTTTATTACACTTAAGGATGAAATATTTTGATAAACTCCTAGTGGTTCAAACACTGATACTAAATGATTAAACGGGTTGTAGATTCAAACCCCAATATGAGTTGCTTCATAAACTATCACCACTGTGTTCAAGACACTTTGGTTGCTCCGGGAGGATTGTCCCTGTAATAAAGTCACTTTGTATTAAAGCATCACCAAAATGACTTAGTAAGAAGAAGCCAACCTACTCACCTGTCCACACTGATCACGCACAGCGTCATGATGGATGCAGTGCAGCACATCACATCCATGGCGATGAAGATGTTACAGAAGACCTCTCCAAAAAGCCACTTTCCTCCCGTGAGGTCCGTCACGATCACGAATGGCATAACCACAATAGCCACGGAGAGATCCGCCACGGCCAGAGACACCAGCAGATAGTTGGACGGCTGTCGGAGCTTTTTAACGACGCACACCGCGATCACCACCAGCATATTTCCAATCACCGTCACGGTGGTGATGATGGCCAGCATCATTCCGATGACAATCTTCTCCGCTGTGGTGAAATCGAGCAATTGTTCCCCGCAGGATTTGTTCCACATGGCCATTGAGATGTTGTAGAATAAGTGTGAGGAACCATTGAGAACTTCCGACGCGACCTCAGGGTGAGTGAACGAGAAGAAATCTAGCGAGCCCGATGAGTTGAACATAATCCCTGCGCCTGATGATGAAGAGCTCGCCAAGAGTGCGCTCCGTGCGCCAAACGCATGCTGAAGCGAGCGCAGGTCTGGGGTGTCTTCCAGGTTTCCAAAAGAAAAAAAGGCAAGTTGTACGGATACAGCAAAGAAAACTTAAATAAACAGGAAGAAGGAGGACAATCACTGTGGTTTGGCTGTATATTGCGCGCGCTTGGAGAGGCTGTACAGTCCTTGACTTGATGCAAGTGACAATTCGGTTCTTCATGCGAGGAAGTGTGTGAGAATTGCGCACTCTAGTAGGTTAAACGCGTAACTTTCTCATCAAAGGGAAGCGGTCTCAGCTCCACCTACATTAAGATATTTTTCTGTCTTCTATTTTGCAGGAAGCACAAGAGTACCGCACTTGACTGCTTTGAAACATTCGCTCTCTAAAAGATCTCTCTCACTTCAGTTCTCAGGCATTTCACTTGTCATTTACTGTTTTCTTTATTATTGTTGTAGTTTTGTGCCTTATTGCATAACTACAAGGGAAAACATTGCATATAGCATTTTACTATTTTATTTTTGGACATCTTATATTTGGACAGTGGAAAGAGGAGAATAATAAATAATAATATCGCCCATACAATCTTTCAGATATCACTAAAAGGTGTTTTGAAAGAGCACATCTGTCTCAGTGAGGGCTGTTTATAGAAAGCCCTGTTTATAGCGAACAAAGACAATCAATTTCAATAAAGCTGCGATTTCCGATGAGCAACTGCAAACCCTTTGTATCTATGTGGGCGTGTCCAATTAATATTTTTTAATTTATGCAAATACGAAATGACTTCATGCAGCAACATCCAATGGGAGTGCAGACAGTGGAGGTCGCATGGTTAGGCTTGTGAAACAATAATAATAATTGTAGTACTAATCATTATTATCATCATCCTCATGATAATAATAATAATAATAATAAAAGGAAAAATCAATTTTGCATGTTTGAGTTTGCTGACATGTCTCTTGGAGCGGGGTTTTAGAGATTGAGGGGGTGTTCTAATTCAGTGGCTGAAATAGCTTACAGCACCCTTTTATTGTAGCCTTGTGGTTAAAGATCTAGGTTGATGAACAAAAAGGATGTAGGTTCAAACCCTGCAAGGGGTGATTCATGACCACTGACAGAAAGGCCCTTAAACCCAGGTTTCTTCAGGGGAAATTGTCTATGATATAAGTGTACTGTAAGTCGCTTTGGATAAACCGTCAGCTGAAAATGCTTATAATTTTAGACTTGCCAGAACACCATGCAGAGCTCTAAGAGAACAAAAGCCCTGAAAATTTGAACAATCAAAACCTATCTCTTGAATGTTGACAGCTACGGAGACAAAAAATAAAAGACATCCTGTACTGTATGTGAATGGTGAGCACTCAACCTCATGGAATTAAGTGGCATGGAAAATGAATCTGTAATGAAGCAGAGAATTGCACAGAACAGCATGTTCCCAAGCTAATGTGGCTAAAGCCACTATCATCACCATCATCTTCTTCGTCATTGTCCAACAGATGGAGCATGTCACCCCCAGGGCCTTATTTTAGAATCTGAATGCATGATTTCTGCGATCATTTCTTTGGTTATAAAGTTATAACTTGTTTTATGAATTAAAGCTACAGGGTTAGATTTTTAGACTGAAGTTAAAGGAATAGTTCACCCAAAAATGAAAAATTGCTGAAAATGTATTCACCCTCAGGGGTGAGTAGCCAAACCTAGATGAGTTTATTTTTCATCAGAACAGATTAGGGCTGCACGATAAATCGCATGCGATATTTAACGCGCATCTTGTCAGAAAGCCGGTTCTGTAATCAGCGGTAAATCTCCATCACCTGCTGGCTTTCACATGGAGCAGCATTAACTCCAGAAATGCGGTTGGGAACCCCTGCTTTAAAAAACTGCTTCTGGCCAAAATGCCAGCCCACTACCATAATACAGCTTTCTCCTGTTTGTCCTCTCACATCAAATTTCATGGACATGTTTGTTTATAAATGTTTTCGCTTGTAAAGGGCTTGGTCTGTGCATATTTCTCACCTGATTCAGCAATGGATAGAGGATTTGTATTTTAACTGGAAGCAATGGTTTAAAGTTAAAAATGACTTGATGAATTTGTTTCTTATAAACAGCTTTTCACTTCACAGAACGTTAATTGATGGACTGGAGTTGTGTGGATTACTTGTGGGTTATTGTAGTTGTTTTTGTTGTTGTTGTCTTAGCTGCTTAGACTCCCATTTTGATGGCACCCATTCACTTCAGTGGATCCATTGGTGAGAAAGTGTTGTAATGCGAAATGTCCAAAAATCTGTTCCGATGAAGAAAAAACTCGTCCACATCTTGGCTGGCGTGAAGGTGATTACATTTTCATTTTGGGGTGAACTATTCCTTTTAAGGGATAGACAAAATAAATAAAAATGAAAATGCTGTCATCATTTACTCACCCTCATGTCATCCCAAAACTGTGTGATTTTAGATATTCTTAAAGAATGTTGGTAACCAAACAGTTTAGTTTCCCATTGACTTCCAGTGTGGAAAAAAACAAAACAATGGAAGTCAATTGGAACTGAAATGCTTTCATTTTTGGGTGGACTATCCTTTTAAAATCATTTCATGCTTGCTAGAAAGGTCAGTATGCCAGTTACCAGTCACCATGCCAGTAAAGTAGCTGTATCCTATGCCCCAAAATATGTTGGCTTCTCTTTTGATGTTCAAGGTCAAAGCACCTGGGTCAAGTGCTGCTAGAAAGATGAAAGCCAAACAGCTGCTTTGACCCAGCATGCTCACTGCTTCCCTCAAGCCTTATTGGTCAATATTCAGAGTAGCCTAACGTGCAGAGTGCTGATGATGAGTGTCAGCTTAAATTAAAAGTCATTGCAGTGATTTGCTTCTGATGAGCGACACTGACTATTGCTGAAATTTCCCTGTTTATATTGAAATGCTACACTTCAGTTATGAGCTTAAGTCAGTATACAGCTGGGAAATGTTTGTTTTCTTACAAATCTCATCTGTATTATGTGTAGGTCTATAATATAATAACAGTTCTATGATAAAGATATTAATTACACATTTTTTTTCAAGAAGAGAATGAGATCAAGGCATGACATGAGGCCTGAGTTGAACCTGCATCTCATATGAGCCAAATTTGAATTACATTTTTATGATCGACATTTAATTTAGAAAGCTAAATCTCTGAACTATTTAAAGGTGCTCAAAGTAGTTCATTCCTCATTAAAAAAGTTTTATGTAAAAATAAATGAATAGAAGTTTAGAAAAATTAAACATGTTTAAAATGAGAGCGCGAGTTTGCGGTGTGATACGAGAGACACCCATGAGCCTTCATATACACATCAATGCCAAGTACGATCACGAAAACAGGAAATATCAGATCACTGATTGCCGCATTTTACCAGTCAAATAAAAAAAAAATGATTTTTCTATGTGGGTTTTTACAAGAAAATAATAAAGTGTGCGTTTTACAAGAAAATACTATTTCAGTCTTTCTACTTCAAAATTTCAGTTTAATTTGATGTATTACTTGTTGTTTCTTTGTAATTATTTGATAAATTTATTCATTTCAGAGTGAAAATTGTTTCAAAGTAAATTTTACACCATTTTTTTTCTGTCTGCTGTCTTTGCTTCACAACTCAGCATAGTCAATGGTGAAGGGACATGTGCGCTTGATATACGTTTTTTTTTTATCACAACAGTTTTGAGCCTTTTATAGTTTGATGGTTTAATATACCATAGAGACATTATCCTGAATTTCCCTTTTTGTGCATCACCTTAATCTTCAACCTGAGAATTTGGGATCATGTGGCAGAGCTAAGTTTCCTTCCAGTAGTTTTGTTCGCTCTTTTGATAATGAACTGAGATGTCTGTTGAGCTCAAAGACATGTTTGTGGCTGCATAATAAAACAGTGTTTACTCTATGAAGCTTGTGTCTTCACAATCATACAGCTGGGAAAATAAAGAAGAAATGTGTCACACAATCCTCTAAAGGCAGGGGACAAAAAGACTTTTTGGCAAGAGGCAGGAGATGTTTGACTTGATGGGCTTTCTTTTAATAATAGCAACACTGGTGGCTATATACAAACTTGCTATGCAAATGTATAATTGAAATTTCCTGACTGCATAATGAATTTAAAATTTTACAAATTTACATTTTACAATTACAACTGTGGCAGCAATAAGCTGTTTGTTATAAGTATGACAATAACTTTCTATTTAGTATAACAAATTGAGTTCATTTGTTGAGCTTTTCAGAATCTTTATTTTTCTAGTTACCACTACACAGAGCATAATGTTAGAATAAGAAACAAAACCTGAAGAATATTTCTGAGATACTGAGTCTATAAGTTTAACAATAACAGGGCAATATAAATGGAAAACAGCACCAGATAAGTCAGAGTTGTAGTTTATCTGTTAGTTATCTCTCTCCTGAACGGTGAAACAAATAGAATACAGTATCTCTAGAGAATTCCACATATAAGACTGCAGCATCATCTGTTTTGTGAAAATATTTCTTGCCTTGACATGGTGAACCTTGTTCAGTAGTGGCAAGAAAATGAATTCTCATGCAGCAAAGGTTTGGGGGGAAAAGGGGTGAACACTTAAACTATTCAAGTGTTCACTATTCAAAATAGACAATTACTTATGCTATTTTTCTTTTCAACTGACGTTTTCTGTTGACTTTTGAAACATTTCATGCAAATCCAGGTTTGTAGTTATTAGTTAAAATCTTGTCGAAGCTTGCATTCAAAACCAAATCAATTTTTACTTATTTTCTGAATTTAGCTTCTTTTAAAGGCAGAGTAAGTGATTTCTGGTAGCCAATGTTGATATTTGAAATCACCAAAACAAACACGCCCCTACCCCAAAAGGGTCTTGCCCCTATTTTGATAGCTCCGCCCCACACATACGTATGCAACCCAGGCAACGATTAGTTCTGTGAAACAAAGCAAAACCAATGTTACACCGTGTCTACGGACGTGAGCGGCGCAGCGCAACAAATCCCCGACAGAAAACTGCTGCCGGGTTCTATTTATGACGTGCTGACACAAATTTCAAATGGTTTTCAACGGTCGTTTGATCGCGTCCAGTGTAGGCAGACTTTAGCTGTTGTAGACACAGTGTTACTCACCTATTGAGAAGAAACAAAGCAACCTCGGCATCCGATCGCAGGCCTCCGCTCCTTGAGTTCTCTCCAGCGATGGAAAGCTGATCCGATATTTACACGGGTCCTACTTCTTGCCCTATCGTTCCGCAGACGTTTTCCTCTTTTGTTTTTTATCCACCATCTCTATCTCTCTGTCGCTCGGCTCGCTAATGTCCGTCCCATGCACTGAAAGCTCTCTCCTCCACATCACGAGTAGACACGCCCCTTATTGCTGATTGGCTACAAGTTTGTTTTGCGATTCGGCCCGAATCAGTTTTCTAAAGTGTTTTTGAAAAATCACATACCCTGCCTTTAAATGTTATGGAACTGTCCTCATAGAGGACACCAAGCATGAGGGGGTTAATGCTTTGCCATTTCATTTTGATTAAATCTCCTGGGCACAGCAGTTGAATTTTGTACTTTGTAGAGGACTTTTGTATTTTAGACATTTCTCTGAGACCACACACGTCACAGTTTTAAGTGGTGTGTCACAAAGAGGACATCCTGGGCTTTCAGAGATGCTAAATTTGGCAGTTTGTCCATGATCGCGCCCTTTGGTTTTAGAAATATCTGACAATATCAGAAATATCCCACAATCTTTAGAGGGATAGAGAGAGGGAGAGGAGGTATTGAGTGTTTTTCTTATAATTATAATTTGTATAGGATCGATCTTCAAATAAATATCTCTGGAAAATTTTAGAGAATTTTCAGTCAATACACACTTTTCTTTTGTACAAATACATGCATGTATACAAAAATAAGCATCTTTTTTTAAACATCTTTGTCAAATTTTTATTAGGCCTATATCAGGATTATATCAGATATAGAAAAAAAGATAAAGATTGATTGTTTAATAGACATAATTTTTGCTTGTCTTATTTTAATGTGCCACAATACTGTCTACAGAGATAAATAAAATCTTAATAAACAAGGAATACATTTTTTTTTTCATTTCTCTTATGTTTGGGGAAAAAACTAAATGCCAAAACATGTAATTTTTTTACATGTTTTATTTGAGTTATTATAACTCGAAAGTGTTTCCAGTCGAATGATTCATGAATTGGTTTGACCGAGTCACGAATCGCGAATCTGACAACACTACTGAATTAGTATTTGTTCAATTTCAGTCTAAAATATCTGGCTGTTGGAGCGAGCGGTTCATCGTCTCACTGAAGTATCGACTACAGGTACATTTGCAGGTAGCCTACATTTACACCCATTTTACTACTTCATGCACGCGTCAACCTGATTTGTTTCTGGAAATAATCGAATAGAATTGTTTTTGATTTTGTTTTTTGCTACTGCGTTCGTCATTCTGTCGAATAATCAGATCAATTTGATTTAGCGCGCTGTCTAACGTTAGTTGTTAGTTTGCGGATTAAACTTTACGGTCGACATGCAAAAGCCAAAAAAAAGTACTAAATAAACGTAATCTTCCAATAGCAATCTAAAAATGTCATTAAATAAAAAATAAAAAAAATTCAGCTATTATTTTAGACGCTTGTCATGCAGGCACGTGCTCATGTCGATTGAGATAACGAACTTGAATATCTGACTAAATGTTTGCAAAAATGACATTAGCCTTGATTACAGCCGGTAAAATTATATATTGGGCGTACTAAAGCATGTTTCTTGTGCTTCAGTGCGCATATTTGGCAGAAATCTTGCAAAGTGACCCATTAATTGATTGATTTTGTTGCCTAGTTTTAGATTAACTCTTGCACATGTGCTTAGAAAGAGTGCAGTGAGATTTACTTTTATGATTTAATGCTTTAAAGCTCTGCAGTGCTTTGACAATGTTATAGATAGACATGTCAAGAAAACCTTCATTGATCTCTTTGCTTTGTTTTTGTCAGTTGCATTGAAGTGCAACAGAGCAAGAAATGGATCCAAAACGACCACCCTATCCTGGTCCCCCAGGGGTCACCCGCATACCATGGATGCAGTCAGCAGAAAATCAGGGTCAACCGCCAGACCAGCCCCCATTGGGACGGGCCAGAGGTCTCGTTCTGCCTAAAGATGAACCTCTTCTTGGACGAGGTAGAGCCTTAGGCGTACCTGGAGAAATGCCTGTGCAGATTGGGAGAGGAATAACTCAGTCTGTAAGTGAGCTTCCGGTGGGCATTCCTAGAGGAGTGCGATTACCGATAGAAGAGGGAGGTTTTGGAAGAGCCCGAGGTTTTTTGCTGCCCACTCTGGATCCCACTGTTGGGATAGGGAGAGGGGCTGCTGTGGGACCAGTATCTATCCCGGACATCGGAAAATTAGAGGCACATGAAAAGATGCCTGAGCTGCAATCACAGGTGACTCCAACGGTTGCCAAGGTAAGTAGAAGACATGGTTAGGGCTGTGCGATTTGGGGAAAATAAATCAAATTGTGATTGAAAAAAAATTAAAATTAGGATTGCAATTTAAAATGTGATTTAGGGCTGCACAATTTGGCCAAAATGTTGTCATTATATATCAATATGGCTGTGAAATAATATTATTACTACAAAATAAAAATATAAAAAACAAAATAAGAAATATTACTGTTATAATATTTCACTGTAAAATATAAACACAGAATGTAAAAGAAAAATAATAATTTATATTATATTATAACTTGTATGGCTGTATTATTATTATTATTATTATTATTATTATTATTATTATTATTATTTTAATATTAAGCCAACTAACTTTTAAAGCAAAGAAACTGCTGAATTTTTGTGCAGTATCATTAAGGGGATTCAGTCATTTCTGCAACACACACATTCAATCAGTCACACAGTTCTCTTCCTCACAGTTTGGAAATATATTCTTAAAGCTGTAAAACATAATAAATAGCAATTTATGCTGTTTCTGTTATTATTATTGAAGACAGTTAATGGCTATGTTACTCTATTCACAACATCTGTGAACCAAACTGCTCTGAGATGCTGCAAACACCACCGGATAATTAGCTGCTTACGTAAAAGAACACAGTGCCATGCTTTATTCTGAAACACGCAGTGCATATATTTGTTTAATAAAATTGCTGCCTCTATGATTTGATAATCACACTAAGCCATATATCACGATTTAGGTTTTATTTCAATTAATAGTTATTTCATAAAATGAACCATAAGTGTTTATTGTTATACAAGTTTCAGATGAACACATTTGAATTAGCAATAGATTTATGCAATAAGTCTCAGGCTTGGCTTTCTTTTAGGTTGATGCTCCTGGGCCGGGGTCATCGCTGGTGTCCATGTTCAGGGGCCTGGGCATTGAGCCAGGAAAGACATGGGACAGAGGAGCTACACCTCTTGGTATGAGAGAGAAAAAGTGAAAAGCTTTATTTTTGCTTCATTGTGTATGTATATCTTTAAATTAATAGTTCACGAAAAAATTGAAGTCCAGTCATCATTTACTCTTTTTGACATGACCAGTCACTCCAAACACCAAAAATGAGAGCTTGGCACCACATTTTTTTTCCCCTTTTTGTATTTGTTTATTTCCCTTTATTTATTCTTTATTAATGTTTTTTTATATATATAATTATTTCTATTCAGCAAGGATGCATTAAATTGGATCAAAAGTGACATTTATAATGCTGCAAAAGATTTATTTTCATATAAATGCTGTTATTTTGAACTTTCTATTCACCAAGAAATCCTAAACAATGAATCACGGTTTCCACAAAAATTTTAAGCAGCACAACGGTTTTCAACATTGATGATGATATTAATAAGAAATGCTTTTTGAGCACCAAATCAGCATATTACAATGATTTATGAATGATTATGAGATGGGAGTAAATTCAGCTTTGTCATCACAGGATTAAATTACATTTTAAAATACACTCCAAATAGAAAGGAAAAATTGAAATCGCATCATATGACCCCTTTAAATAGAAAGGTTATTTTGTTATTTTACCAACCCCAAACTCAAACTTTAATCAAACTCATAGCTGTTTTATTATTCATGTCAGGACTAGGTTGATTGGAGTGGGTATTAAATTGTGTGCCATCATTCTTGTATCCTTGGCAACACCAACAAAGTTGAATAGTCACCACTTAGACGTGCAATTTACTGCTGAAGACAGCGGGAAGGTCAAGTAGCTAATAATGAAAACAAACTTAATCTGCAATGTAAATACAAATGATAAAAGTAAGCCCATTAATCTTGTATTTAAGAGCTTTTTTTGTGTATGACTTGAAATGTAGTGCTTGAAATAGTCCTTGGCATCTGAATCAGTGACCTTTCTGTGTCTTGAGGAACAACTCTTGAGGAACCTCTGATTTTTTCTGGGTGCACTTAAAAAAAAAAAAAAAAATTCTCAACACAAACATGACATTTTAAGATAAGACTTTCAACCTTTTCCAGCACTATAACACTATATGGCTCATTGTCACAGTGTTTCTTGTGTCCCTAATGCACTGGTTCTGGAATTGATCAACTGTCTTAACCAACATCTACCAATCAATAGCTACTTGATATATTTGACACACGCTGTCAGATAACAATATTAATGTCAGTACCAAAAAAAGTACTAAAAAAAGTTCTGAACCTAATTATACTTCAGATAAGTCACTTGGCGTTTATGACATAACTGGAGAGGATGCTGTTTTAATCTTTAAGAATGTAGTGAATGTTGACATCTAATCATAGTTACCTATTTGGAATTGTGTCAGTTAGGGCTCTATGAAATTTGTTTTATTACAAATTCCCTTTTATTTTTTTATTTCTGGATTCATTTTTAATGGCTTAATTCAATTTAAATAATTAAAGAGTATGTCCATTCAATTGAATTGGTAAAACTTTAGCAATTTAAACATGTATTAAAATTGTAACAATAATATGTCCCTATGAAATGTTTTATTTTTTCAGAAATTCTGTGATGTATGTTTTAACTTCTTTGGATTCTGTTTTATGATTTAGAATCAGAATCAGAAAGAGCTTTAGTGCCAAGTGTGTTTACACACTCAAGGAATTCATCTTGGTGTCATTGATTGCATTTAATTGATGTAATCAAATGAATGCAAAAAACTATTAAATGAATCTCTACACAGTTAATCTTTTAAAATGAAATTTAAATTTTTTTATTTTTGCAAACAAAGTGCTGCACAACAGAGGTTTAGTGTTTAAAAAATTGATGAAAAAATTGTGTGATATAGCTTAAAATATTTCAGTAAACTATAACATTATTCTTATTACTTTGAGAAGTACATTCTACTGTGCAATAATATATTTCCATTATACTTTCAGGTTACATAAAACTTTTATTTTGACATGTTGAAGTGAAGACCATGTAGTTTCTGTGTTTGTCATACAACGTTTTTTTCAAATGAAATTATGAAATGCTGGTGAAGTGACTCACAGTGCAGCTCTGGAGATGAAGTTCGTATCCTCATATAGTGAGACGGCAGATGCTGAAAACACCACAAGTGTCACGTGCTTGAAATTGTGGTTAACAAAACTGTGGCAGAAGATGCAAACTTCATATTAAACTGCAGTCTTTTTATGGTTTGATGTTTACAGTCTCTAGCCCATATCATGATTCGATTAAGTGTACAGACGTACTTTTATTAATCCAAATTTTGCAAAACATAATACAGTAAATTCCATGACAAGATTCTGTTTCCGTTTTCTGCATCACGGAAATCATAGGGCCCTAGTCAGTACAATTGGATGTAGTTTTTTTTTTTCGTGATACTTCAGGTCTTCCTCTCCATAATTTGTATTCATATGATCTTCAGTTAATGAAGAAGCAGGTTGTCTAAGTGTAAACTCTGAAACCAGCATTTCTCTGTGAGTATGACTCTTGTTATTTGTCTGTACTGGATGTTATTTTTTCTGTCCTAATTCAGGACGGGGGGCAGCAGGCGATTTTGGGGCAGATGTACAGCCTAAGCCGACCATCATTGGGGCAGCCGCTCTGACTCCAGAAAGAGAAGAAGCTCGCTTAGAAGAATCCATCAGGTGATGTTGCTTGCTTGTTTTCTTAGTGCAGTTTCTTGGATTTGCTCATTTTCTCCATCTTTTATTTGTACATGAAAAACATTAAGTAATAATTCACCACAAAAATAAAAAAAGGTTCACCTTAATGCCATTCCAAATCTGTATGACTGACTTTGTTCTGTAAGATTGTAAGTGAATAACAACTCAAATCTGTGTCTGTTCTGCTTCACAAATGAAAAAGTCATACAGGTTTGGAATTGACATGAGTGATAGTAAATGCTGACAGATTTTTTTTGGGTGAACTATGCCTTTGAAGGATGATTACTGAAATGCATCAAAATGCTGGTAAGTAGGGTTGTGACGGTGAGGAAATTTTCCCACCGGTTAATCGACGTGTGACAACACGGATAATACTGGTATCACCGTGGGGGCGGGGCGTTCCCTCTTTTCCTCGCTTTCCTTCGCTTTTAAATAGCTTGTAAAAGCGGTGTGCACATTTTACTTTCACTTTCAAATAGCGGCAATTCGGCGTAAAGCAATTGTTTGTTTGAATTTTTCCTCGCTTTCCTTCGCTTTTAAATAGTTTAAAAGCGCCGTGTGCATTTTTCGAATTAGCATCAATTCGGCGTCAATTGCTTGAATGCAACAACAAAACACAACATCAAACTCACTTTAGCCTATATATAAAACATAGAACTTTTATTAACAAAACGAATAAAAATACACCATGCTATAGGGCAGGCTATGCCTAATATAAAATAACAAATAACTTACATAAAGTTTAAATAGGTATACAAAACTGGAAGTAAGTAAACATGTAGCCTATAATATATAGCCAAATAAATAGGCACGGCATACACCTTGATGTCAAATAAAATAAATAAATTACACAAAGTTTAAATAAAGTAAAAATCAGCAAACACTGTGGAACCAATTAAATAAGAAATGAATGTTTAAAAAAACTTCCAAAATCACCTTAGATAAACGGCAAAAGTCAACAGGCTTTTCAAAATCCAAAATACTGCCAAACAGGTAGTTTGCTTGCTTTTGCATTTCGTTTCGAAACTAAATCATCCGTGATCGTCTTGTCTGTCCCACCTCACTCTTCTTGTCAGCTTCTCACGTGATAAATTAAATCTGATGTGATGCGACTGTCGTTCGGCACACTGCATTGAGCAGCCGCATTCAGTTTTTAATTGTAGTGTCTGTTCTTTTACTGAACTAAATGATTTTTATTACTATAAAAAAATCAAAACGACGGTGGGGGTCGGTGACGCGGTGGGCAAGTGACGTAACCGGTGTTGCGGCTTAACAATGGTATCACCGTCAGCACCGTCTATCGCCGCTAGCCTATAACGGGCACTTCTCGTGTGTATTGCCATCTTATGATAAATCGCTTGTTGTATTCCTCAACTGTAAGTCAATTTGGATTAAAGCATCTGCCAAATGAGTAAATGTAATTTGAGTTTTGCTTTGTGTGCTTGCAGTTTCCTGGGCAGAGGATTTGTTGGTGTTGGCAGAGCAGCATTGCCTCATATGAGTGTAGGTCGTGGACCGATTGGCTCATCAGGCCCCGTGTCTCCCATTGCTGCCCCACTCTCCCTGTCATCTGCTACCTCCATCTCTGAAGATGCCCCAGTTCCTCCAGGAACACCACCTAAAGTTGAAGTGAAAATTGAGACCGTGAAGTATGAATTCTCTTTCTGTGATTTATTGTCCTGTTTGTAAAATTTGATCATTTTAAGCAAGTTTTTTTTTTTTTTAAAGAAATGCTGTTCTATTGAACATTGTATATATCAAAATATCCAGAAAAAACTGTATCCCAGTTTCCACAAAAAAAATTAAGCAACACTGAAGACACTGAAGGCTGGAGTAATGCCTGCTGAAAATTCAGCTTTGCAATCACAGGAATAAATTAGATTTTAAAATACATTACCTAAACTACAAAGCAGTTATTTTAAATGATATTAATATTTCACAATATTACTGTGTTTACTGTAATTTTGAATAAATGCTTCCTTGATTAACATAAGACTTACTGACCCCCCACCTTTTGAACTGTAGTGTACATTATATACATTGTAGCATTGTTGAGTTATAACCCAATTCTGCCTAATTTGCAAATTATTTATTTCATTGGTGCTGTTCTTTAACGAATCAATCCAACTAGTTGGTAGAGACTAATGTTTCTTTTCTACAATGTGTTCCTACAGGGAGCCTCTGCAGAAAATGGGAACAAAAGGCAGTCCCGTATCCATCGGGTCAAACTACATACCCATCCGTTGCAAAAATGAAGCTGTGTTTCAGTACCATGTTACTTTTACGTGAGTCTTTTTTATCTGTACCGTATTTTTTTTTAAACAAGGTAACATCACAGTTACAAACACAAACTTCAGGCATTAACTCGTACATTGTTCAGAGCTAATGCTATGTAGTATTGATTGTTCAAAAAGGTCAGTAATGGCCAGCAAAGTATGAAGATAAATTGGTGCACCTCTTCATATGCATTTTTTCAATGAGAATATGATGTTTGCCTCTGCCTGTCGGAATAAAGTAGATGTTTAGTTCATGTCTTATATAGTAACCAGTATTGATTGAATAATTATTATTAGCAGCATCTTTTTTTAGAGAAAACATGATTAATGGCATTAATGATCAGCTATTGAATTTCAGCCCGAACGTTGAGTCTCTCGGTATGCGTTTCGGTATGATGAAGGAACATCGGCCTACTACGGGAGAGGTGGTAGCTTTTGACGGATCCATCCTCTATCTGCCCAAACGTCTTGAAGAGGTTCGTGTGCATGTTAGATGTTGTTGTTTTTCACTTTAAACACACCTAATTACCCAAACTTACCTAGGCTTTGCTGTGTAACAGGTTGTTCATATTAAAGCTGAGAGAAAAACCGACAATCAAGAGATCGACATCAAGATCCAGTTGACAAAGATTCTGCCACCCAGCTCTGATCTATGTATCCCGTTTTACAACGTGGTCCTAAGGAGGTGTGTATTCTCTATGTATAATATATTGATTCTCAAGACACCACAGGTCAGATGTGTTTGTAATTTGTTCTTCCTGTTTTTCTCTTTCATGGCTTGAAATGTCCTCTGAGAGAAAACAAATGTGCTCTTTCATTAATGTATGACCTCACTAATGGTTTGAAATAAGAGTTTGATGTATTACGTAGACATAATGTAATGTTCACAGTGCAAAGCTCCTTCCCTCATTCATCCAGCACGTTCATGGAAACTGAACTGCAAAAACAGGTGAGTCAGAAATGGTTTTGACATTAGAACCATGAGAAGAATCTTTTGCCTTGGATGAGAGTGTGAACTACGTTGTTACATCAAGGTGGGTCACTTATAACAGAGGTAATCTACAATACCGTTAAATAGTTTGGAGTTGGTAAGAATTTTTTCTTTGTTTTTGAAAAGAATTCTCTTATGCTCACCAAGGCTGCATTTATTTGATCAATGTTTGTGAAGTTAATGTTTGAAATAATGTGAAGTTAGAATTAATTTTTTTGTGGTAATCAAAATTATTTCACCTGTGTTATTTTAGTATTATTTGTACTATTATAGTAATTATTCATGTTTTTCTTTTTTAAATCTTTTATTCCCCTTTTTATCTTATTTTTTTATATTTTCAGTTTATTTTAATTTTACATTTTTTAATCATTTTGTTATATGCTTTTACCATTTCTCTTAGTTTTTGCATTTCTATTTAACTATTTTGTTTTAGTAATTTTACTACTTGCACTTAAGCTTAATGTATTTTAATTTATTGGCAGGGCACATTTATCAAGTTTTTCATTCAAGATTTATATTTTATTTCTCTGTTTCCATAAACATTTTTAGTTTAAGGGTTAGTTCACCCAAAAATGAAAATTAGCCCATAAATTACTCAAGGCATCCTAGGTGTATATGACTTTCTTCTTTCAGACGAATCCAGTCGGAGTTATATTAAAAATTGTCTTTGATCTTCCAAACTGTTTAATGGCAGTCAGCGGGTGTTGCAGTGCATCAGTCCAAAAGAAGTGAAATAAAAAGCGCCCATCCATAATAAAAAGTGTCTCACACGGCTCCGGGGGGTGAACAAAGTCCTCCTGTAGTGAATCGATGCGTTTTTGTAAGAAAAATAACCATATTTAAAATGTAATAATCAATTTAATCTAGCTTGTGTTCACTGTTGTACACGGAAGCAGCTCCGGGCGGATGACGTATGAAGTCGGCGTTCAAGAGGAGACTGGTTTTCATTTGCTAAAGTAAGGAAACTTTGCTTTCTTTGCTCCTGTTAACAAACATTGGTTTTCACGAGACTCACCAGCACATGCGCAACGCCGACATCTTACGTCATCCTCCCGGAGCTGCTTCCGTGTACAACTGTTGGCACAAGCTAGATTAAAGTGATCATTACGTTTTGAAGATCAAAGACAATTATATATTATATATAATTATATAACTCCGACTGGATTCGTCTGAAAGAAGAAAGTCATATATACCTAGGATGCCTTGAGGGTGAGTAATTTATGGGCTAATTTCAATTTTGGGTGAACTAACCCTTTAACAGTAACAAAACTGGATTTTACACATGCTTTTAATTAACTTGTATTGACACCAAAATATTCCTTTAATAGCCATTTCAATGTGATCTCCCTCTTCATGTAAATTAGATTTCATCACAATCAATTTGTAATAATTCTCAATGGCTGACTACTAAGCATTTGATAATTTATGGCCATTATTAAAGCAAATATTTGGTAAGGTATTGGGAAACTGCCAGTTTGAAAACACAACGTGAGCCTGCTGTTGTAGTTAAACCGTTCGCTTATGCACCACATGAGTGTGCGGTGTGAAACAGCCCGTATTGTTGAGCCCTGTGGAGTATTGCTCCAATTTTCTGTGCATATGAGACAAGTCTGAGCTATAATGGCTTGTTGACAGTCAGCTCTGACATCGCTGACTTTTCTTGCTGCTTTCCTCTCATTCTTTCTCTCTGCTCTAGAGTGATGAAATTACTAGGCCTGAAGCTGGTGGGCAGAAACCATTACGACCCCAACGCTGTTGTGATTCTCGGCAAACACAGGTATTTTGCACTGACCTGACTGTGATTGCAATCCAACCAAAATTGCTGTGCTCCACATTGTTTGATTTCACACTGAATAAATCTAGACTTAAGATTCTGTATTTTCCCACCTGACCTATGATTACCAGACACATTTGAAACGTTTCAGCACCACTTGTAATAATGGTTTGCATAGTGATTCAGGATCCTTGTAATTGTTTGTACCTATTTGTGTTTGTAAATGCGTGTCCATCAGGCTTCAGGTGTGGCCTGGGTACTCCACCAGTATCAAGCACACCGATGGTGGCCTCTACCTCATTGTGGATGTCTCCCATAAGGTGCTACGAAACGACTCCGTGCTGGATGTCATGTGAGTTTGATCAGTGTTATCAATCATTCTGACATGTCGACATGTACGAAGTCATTGCCATTTTGTCAGTTGCGTGCTTCGTTCCATTCCAAAGCAGTGTTCCAAAATCTAGCGAGTTGGTGTTCTAGAAAAAGAGGAGAATATATATATATATATATAGATAAAAAAACATTTATTTTTAAAATAAATGTTTATTTTTAGATTCTTAAAAGATAACAAATAACATATTCTTGCGCAGCATTGAGCATTGCTTGTTTCACTTTCTTTCAGCCCCTTTCACTTGCATTGTAAGTGCATCACTAGATTTTTTTTTTTTGCTAATCAAAATGATTTTACAGGTGTTATTGTAGTAGTATTATATATTATTGTATTAGCAAAAAACATTGTATTAATTAAAAAATACATTAATTTTTAAATATTCTTGTTAAATATATATTTTTAATAAATTAACATATAAAATAATACTTTTTTTTTTTTTTTTTGACCAAATTCTAGTGCAGCATTGAGCATTGCTTGTATCCTTCATAGCGAAAACAATAGCAATATGCTTTGCCACAAGCTCAGTGAAAAAATGATCATATATTGTAGACGAGGTGAGAGAAATTGAATATTTCATTTAGTTTGGAGAGGTATGGATAGGAAAACCCCCCAAATCTAATTAGGGATTGACTGTTTTGACCAAACTTTATGTATGCTATGCACTTCTTGAAGTAATGCATAATTTCCTCATAAACTGGGTTGAAATATCAAATTGAAAAATCTTATATGGTTTTTCTAACAGTTCTTTCAGAATTAATTTGTTTATTGTGTGTCATTGGATTTTTTTAATTGCTCTGTTTTTGCCATATGGAAGCATTTGGTGCTGAAAAGGCGTCAAAAAATTATTTAATGTTATTAAAATAATAATAAATTGGCCTGCATATGAAGTTCCATTTTAGTTAAGATGCTGCCGTAACATTTATTTTCATTTTCGGTGAGAGTTGGTAATTTCTGTTCACATAATTGTTAGAGACCAATGGTGATGTGACAAAATTTTGCAAAATGTGACAATTTCAAACACTCCAAAGAGAAAGGAAAACTTGAAATCGCATCATATGACCACTTTAATGAAAATAAGCAGCGTTACAATGCAGTGACTAGGAATGGAAGTGCAGACAGCATCATCTCATACAGAGGAACACCTACTAGAAACCAGGAGCTAGTGATTTAATTGCTGTTAGTGTGTTGACAGCAATTCAGCTCACTAGGTTTTGGATCGGAACTCATATGTATAAAAGATTTTAAATGCATGCTAAATTTTTGGCTAAAATTTACGCTATAATCGGTTTGCCAAAATCAGTGCAGTGATGCCATTTGCTTAACCCTGAATAACTGTTTGTCTGCTTTAGGAACTTGATTTACCAAGGAAGTCGTGCAAGCTTTCAGGACGAATGCACAAAGGAGTTTGTTGGTTCAATCGTCATCACGCGGTATAATAACCGCACTTACCGTATCGATGACATCGAGTGGTCCAAGTCTCCCAAAGACACTTTCACCTTGGCTGACGGAACCGTGACCACGTTTGTCGATTACTACAGGTTCATCTGCTATGTGGAGAACCCACTTCTGATTTAAAACCTGAATGCATGTAAAAGACATGACAGCTGGACCGTAACTTGCATAACTGGATTATGATGCAAATGACATTGTGAAAGCTCATTATGATGGCAGGGGCAGATTTATGCTAGTTTAAAGTGACAGATTACCGTTTTATTGTTTGGTTTGTCAATTTTCTAATTAGCTTTTTATATGCACAGAAAGAACTATGGCATTACCATAAAGGAACTGGACCAACCACTGCTCAGCCATCGTCCAAAAGAGAGGTCCAAACCAGGAGGAAAGGTGAAATAATGCTTATCAGGATTTTTGGATTGGATGGTGGTGCTGTTTTGTTAGCTTATGTTGGGAGTTATTAAAAAGCTTTAGAAATGACAGTGACCGCTGCATGTCAGTCAGTGGTGGTTTAAATAGCATGAGCTTGACTGAATTCACACTCCGTGCTGTCATCTAGTGGTGTCATTGGGTACTGTGCTGTAACAGTTTATTTGGCCTGAAAAATGGTAGGCAGTGTCTGCATTTTACTATTTATCTGGGTGACACCAGTGAATAAAATTTTTTTTTACCAATCATATACACTGCCAATTAAAATTGTGAAGTTAGTAAGGTTTTTTTTTTTTTAAAGAAAATAATACTTTTTTCAACATTAAATTGATCAAAAGTTACAGTAAATATGTCTATTACAAAAGATTTCTATTTCAAATAAATGCTGTTCTTTTGTACTTTCTGTTCATCAAAGAATCCTGAAAATATTTCCACAAAGATAATAAGCAGCACAACTGTTTTTAATATTGATAATGATAAGAAATGTTCCTTAAACACCAAATCAGCATTTTAGAATGATTTCTGAAAGATCATGTGACACTGAAGACTGGAGTAATGGCTGCTGCTCAGCTTTGTCATCACAGGAATAAATGAGCATTTAAAATGTATTAAAAAAAAGTTATTTTCAAATGTAATAATAGTAATAATAACTTCTTTCAAAAACATGAAAAACTTTAATTACAGAGCAGCATAATGATCCTCGCTGAGAATCAAATTTCAACACGGATTTACATGCTGAAACTAAAAACAGTCACTTCAGCGTTATCTTTGCTCAGTATGCATACTATACACCGCAGAAAGACTAGTACAGTAGTAAGCTGAACATAGAAAATAAATGAAGAAACCCATATTTGTAAAAACACTTTCCACTTGGATTTAAGATTTTTGCAGCTAAATGAATATGAGTGATGAAGCCGCCATCATCAGCTTATTTCAGTATCAATGAGATACTATTATAGTTTTTATTAATATTGACTGACTTTGTGACAATAGCCATTATTGTCACTGGGAATGTTGTCCAGTAGTCTGTGATGAAATTAATACCCTGTGTCACAGTGAAATGTTTGATTGCTTTTTTGATCTGTTTCATAACAGGTTATAACCGGTGAAATCCTGCTGCTGCCGGAACTCTCCTTCATGACCGGCATCCCTGAGAAAATGAGGAAAGACTTCAAAGCCATGAAGGTACGAATAGTTACCAGTCAAACCAGTCTAAAATAGAGTCAGGTGGGTAAACTCTCTTTATTTTGGAAACTGTTCAGTAGGAGTTGATCGATTGATCGGTTTTGCTGATTAATCGGCACTGATAGTTGATTGCCGGAACTATTGGCTATCAGCAAAAATCCATGCCGATAGTTTTTCCGGGTTGTGTCCATTGCTGGAGCAGCTGAGAAGTTCCACTGTCATTATACAGTACGAGAGCGAGAGCGGCCTCTAGAGGCGGAATCACTGACAGTATGTGCTGTTTGTTTTGACACGTGGCACTGCGCGCTGCACAGAGCGGGACAATTCAGATGCGGATGTAAAACACTAGGGATTGAATGACTCCAGATTTTTAAAAGTCGACATTTATGTGATGAAAGTCGAATCGATGTCGACTAGTCGCTGATGACGTTATTAATGAGAAAATAAGCCTGAACCTTGAGGTGAGACCTGAACACCTTGTGCACAGCTATGGCATCTGATACAGCGCTGCCCACATGGCTATTGCTCCAATAACAGCTCATTTTTATCAGTTCTTTTGTCTTTGGATCATTATATTTCACAGATTTCTGCTCGTTCTAAATCAGATAAAGTAGCACAGTAAAGATTACATTTATTAATGCATTAGTGAGAGAGCGACTGGTTGCTTCTCTCTACTATTAGTGAAGCTTTGGGTTATAGTTACTAAGAAATATATGCTAGAACTTTTCAGTTTCTAAGCTAATTTATGGAGAAATCACAGAACAGTGTTGACAATACATTTCCGCGCTACTGAATGATTCTGAACGACGATACCTGTACAATAAGCTATTTAAAACGAGCATTCTCCTGTTCAATTTCGAGCACCCAGATGGTATAATCTTGTAAAGCGCTTTTGGAGTAGGGGTGTAAGAAAATATCGATACATGCGAGTATCACGATTTTTTGTTTGCCGATACTGTATCGATTCTCAAAAACGGAATATCGATATTTAAAAAAAAAAAATCATACAAGATTCGTGGCAGTTGTTTCGTTTTGAGTTTATACCCTGACCGCTAGATAGCAGTCTTCATCTCTGAACTTAAACAGTGACAGGAAAAAGCCTACTAGCATTAGGACACGGCACTAATGTTCGTGTTAATATAGTTTGCTGCTAGTAATGGAGAATGAAAGATTTGTTCCAGTTCCAGTTCCCGTTTTGGTGTACAAAGCTGAAGTGTGGTGTCATTTGGGCTTTTAATGTCCACCGCGGGACCGTGGTGCGGGCGGGCGCCTCGGTTCCGCCACTTGCCGCGTCCCGTGTGAAGAGCCACGTCCTCGTGGTGGGGGCGTTTTGAGCAGTTGGGGCGGTGCTCGCGTCGCGGTATCTCCGCGATTCCACGCGGAACAAACATACAAACTGAAAAACCTGTGAAATCCAAGTGGAAAGGTTCTGAGAATGCTTAACATCTATATTTATTTTATTGTTATTGTTTTAAAATTGTTTTGTTTTCTTTAGAAATCCTGCAAGCACTTTATTTTTCATTGATATTAAGCAGATGTAATTCTTTTGTTCAGATCAAAATGTTATGATATTGTACGTTACAATTGTAAACTTAAAATGTTAATCTTTAAAGCAGGGTCTAAAAATATATATGGTCTTTTTATAAAAGACATATTATACATTTAACTAAAGGATCCTGCACTTACTTTAATTTTTTTCCCCTTGACTCGTACTGCACAAAAAGTGGTTCAATAACGTTGAATGTTACAGGGACTGATTATTGCAAATGCAGATCCCACTGTGTTCTGGTTAAATAATTTTTATTTCTTTTATTTATGTATTTATTTATTGCTAAGATTTGCATATGGTGGTGTGTTCTTTATGACAGCTTTCCTAAAAATATATCCTATTCCTAAAATAAGAAATATCCCAATATATATCGCCTTTCTTACAGTATCGCAACATATCGTACCGCAACCCCTGTATCGTGATACGTATCGTATCGCCAGATTCTTGCCAATACACAGCCCTATTTTGGAGTATGCATTTATTTGTCATTTTAACGGTTTGAAAACAGAGTGTAAATGTGGACTTCAACGATTTCTTATCCTGTTGCACCCTCTGCTAGTCTACTGCACCTCTGCCAACTAGTCGACATCAAGCTTAAAGCATCATGGCAGAGCATTAAAGTCGACTAGTCAACTAGTCTGTGCAACCCCTAGTATACAGTATATAATAGTGCATGTTTTCATATCTTTACTGCTTAATTTTTGACTAGATATTGAATTAGTAGAGAAAGTAGCAGTTTGCTTTCAAGGGCCATTCACACAGTGAACTCTTGGCGGTTTGGTGTTTTAGACCGCCGCTTGAATTAAACGTGATGCATCCGGTGTGTGTGTGATTCTTGCGAGTTCAAAAACATAAGTTGTCATGGCTTTTTCATCATATCATTTTTTACAGTGTAGACACGCGATTTTGCCCGGTGAGTGACTAACATATTTTGTTATTTTCATTAGATAATCAAGTGTTCTATAATAGAAGTAAATAAAGTGTGAAAGTATACATACAATATCCATATATGGGCCATTCTACAGAATTGGTCCAAAGTCAAGAGTTAAAAACATCTTGGAAAAAAAAAAGTATTTTTCCAAAAAATGTGTATGTATGCAAATTGTATAATATCCAAGGTAGACATTTCTAGTAATTGTGCAGTTAATTCTCATATTGTATTTTCAGAAAGTTTTGGTATATTTGTCCTCTCCCCAAATTTGTCACTACCGAAACACAGTAATAATAATTTAATTCGAAGGGTTATATTGACCTATTAATATTTTGCTTACATCTACATTGTAAATATATTTTTTTGCTATTTTCTTTTTTTTTTCAGAGGTAAATCAATAACAATTACATTTTTAACAATATTTCAAGTGTAATTTATGAGATTTGTTTTATTTTGAATTAATGCTGGGCGGTATTGACTTAGAATGCCCTATTTTACTGTCATGATGAGTGAATATTAGTGCTGTGTTCAAAATATCGATACGACGATGCATCGTCACAGAGATCTGACGATACGAGTATCGATACAGCTGGCCCTGTATCGATACTGTGGCACGTGTACAGCAGTGGACCGCGCTTAATTTGTTACAAATTTTACAACGTTTAAAATTGAGTAATACGGAAATATCTGCTAAGTGTGCTACTTATCTTTGTCAACCTGGCAAACGTGCACGCGCTCTCTCTCCACTGTGGATAAACGCGCTTGCTTTCTGAAAACAGCGGTTAGCTTGCAGTTTAGCGATCTCCACTTCAATATTCTATTCTCAGAAAAGTGTAATTCATCAGCTGGTTATTTACGACACACACAGAGAGAGAGAGAGGCTGTGTATGTATAAATTACCACCATTTTGCCGCGTTTCTCTATTAACAGTAAAGCTGTGGCTTTAAGTCCTTTAGAAACAATGATGCTACCAGCTCCTTGTTGAGAAAGATATTGTAGCTCTTGAGCGATTAAGCTATTTAGTTGATAAAACTGCGGGGCAGCGCTAAAAAGTTTGTTCTTGAATGTCTGAGTTCAGCCGCAACGTGATCTGTGTGTGTGACTGCACTTAACATCAAACTGCTTCTGTTTCACACAAATGTTCGGCTAGAGTCGCTTTGAACTCGTGCATCTTCGGAAGCGGAGCTGCGCAAAAGTTACAAAAAATGTCGTGCACACCGCCACGCGAAACGAGGTCGCGCGCACTCAAAGCGAACTTCCGCCAACACCCCGATGACGTCATATTTGCCGCGAGCACCTAAGCGAACTTGCCGACGCGTCGAGTATAAATCGGCCTTGAGCGTGTGTGCGTTAGATACAGTGAAGACAGCGAGAAAAAAGCCGCTAAAAGGGTGTGAAAGTTGCTAAATCTAGTGCTAAAGTCGCGCTCGTGTGTGTGAGACGCGGGAGCTGATGGCAGGGGGCGGTGGATATTTGTGGCGGTCAATGTGGATATTGTGGATGAGTTCTTCTGTGTCATCACGTTCTATTAGTTCTACAGCTTCAGTTTCGGAACTTTCATGCTTAGTAACACATACAGCTGTTCCCTCACCACAGTGCAACAGTGAAAAGGGACCCCTTTCAAACAGTGTCGCGTTCCGAACATTGTTTAAGCGACATACACCGGTATTTTAAAAATTCATATCATAACAGAAATAAACACCGGTATTCGGTATGAACCGGTATACCGCCCAGCACTATTTTTAATCAAATTTTTCTTTGTAAAAGGCAAAAAGTTGATTATACTGATTTCAAAGTTAAGGATTCATTAGTTTGAATATACTTTGAACCAAAAACTATCATAACATCTTAGTTGATAATTCAGTATACTTTATTTTTGACAAAACATCCCATGTTTCAGTAGTGACTGCACATTTTCGGTAGTGACAGTAATACTTTGGTAGCGACCACATCACATTACAGAATTTTAACTTTTAACTAAAACACTACTAGAAAATATTTCCCCCAAATATGAGGATTATGTGTTCCCTTTTGTCACTACCGAAACAATGATGAAATGTTTCGGTAGTGACAATAAAAGTCGTAATTTACAAAGAAAATATAAAATATTTTTTTGAACTTCACTTTTTAAAAGAATCAAAAAGATATTTTTAAAAACAACAATGGAAAAAAAATACAAAAATTATTTCAATATCATTTCATAAGTTAAAATTTAGGTTGTTAGGGTTTGGGACAGCCACCTCCCAATTGAAAGTACCCAATAAATGATGATTTTATATATATTAAGCTTACGAATATTTTAAATATTATTTTTGGTTTCAATAGAGAATAGAAGGATCTTAGTAAACATCTAAGATTTGAATACTTAAATGCTTTTTAAATGTGTTTTTTGGTTGTGGGACAGCAGTTTTGACCAATTCTGTAGAATGGCCCATATATGTAATTTCAATGCTGTGGCCTTTGTGTAGAAATGTAAAGATGGCAATCTTTAAGCATGACTGTTGAAATGAAATGGTAACACATTACAATAAGACTCCATTTGTAACATTAACTAAGGTTGATAAAAGTTGTAGAAGTATTGTTCCTTGTTTCCTTTAATTTCAAAATTTACTATTAAATTTGTTACATTTTAAATTTGGTTCTGTTAACATTAGTTAATGAACTATTTTAGTTTTTGTTCAGTATCCATTTTAAAAACGATCGGTTGATTAATCGTATCGGCCAGTGTGGTTCTGCCTAGCTATCGGAATCGGTAAAATCCACTATCGGTCGACCTCTACTGTTCAGATTCAGGTTTATTTCAAACTGTTCGTCTTGTGTTTCAGGATCTGACCATGCACATCAATGTGGGAGCCGAGCAACACACCCAGAGTCTCAAACAACTGCTGCACAACATCAACAGCAATAATGAAGCTGTCTCAGAGCTGGCCCGCTGGGGCCTCAGCATCAGCCAAGAGATTCTAGTGGTGAGAATGGAAACACACACCTTCATTGAGAGTGTAGAGCCTTTTGTGTCTTAGATGCAGCCACTGCTCCATCAGGTCCTCCAACAATACCAAACCAGAAATATGTTCATGTTCAACTCATATTATACCTGAATAGCTCCAATTAAATTGTGTCATTCATTCTATATATGTATCTACGTTACCACAAGTTTGGGGTTGGTAATATTTTTTGGATTTTGAAAGAAGTCAGAAAAAGGCTGACCAGGGCTGTATTTATTTTATCAAAACAGTAATACTGTGAAATATTATTACAATTTTAAATGGCTGTTTTCTATTTCATTATATTTGAAAATGTAATATATTCCTGTGATGCTGAATCTGAATTTTAAGCAGCCATTACTCTAGTCTTCAGTGTCACATCATCCTTCAAGGTTTATTTCACCCAAAAATGAAAATTAGCTTGTGTTTTACTTGGCCTCGAAGCGTCCTAGGTGTATATGACTTTCTTCTTTCAGACGAATCCAGTCGGAGTTATATTAAAAATTGTCTTTGATCTTTCAAGCTGTTTAATGGCACTCAGCGGGTGTTGCAGTTGAACAGTCTATAAATATATTAGGGCTGCACGATTAATCAAAATTAAATTGCAATGGCGATAAATCGGGATTAGGCAGAAGCTGCGATTTTCATCCGTATCTTTCAGTGAAGCACGGTTCTGTGACCAGCAGTAAATCTCCATCCGAAGACCAGAGGGCGCTCTCACTCGGAAATGCTGAATACGCCTCGCAGAAGAAATCAAGAAATTCCTATAGCGGTTGCTGAACTCACGTGCTTTCAGATGGAGCAGCATTTACTACACAGAGCCGTAGTTTACTGACAAGCTACTTAAAAAATAAAAAGCATTTATTATATAGCATTCCCTGGATTTGATGGAGTTTTCTCAAAATACTGTATTGACAATTATTGAAATTCTTTTTTCTTTTTTTTAAATTCTTTTTTATTAAGGGTGCTCCGATCAGGATTTTTGGAGAAGATCACAGGAAGCAGTATCTGCCCATACTGATCTTTTTGAAGCCTTCTTTTTATCGTGTAGAATTATTTACAGTGATGCTCCAATCAGGATTTTTACAAACATTCAGGGTCTGAATTTCATTTTTGAAAATGGGGGGAATTCCCCTCTTAGGTGACTCTTGTAGGGGGGATTTTTTAATTTGAGGGGTGGAGGGGGGATTTTTTTGACATTTTTCAACTATAGATAATTATCTCACCTAAATGTTTGATCATGCAGTGCATTTTTGTTTTTTTGTTGAGCGCGCAAGTGCTGAATGGTTTAAACACTGGCAAGACTTGAGAAATGCATTTTATAAACTTTAGTGACGATGCGACACTGCCTCGTTTGTGCAAGTGACAACTCCTGTGTCAACTGTGCAGCTCGTTAATAGTGCAGACGCGATGTGGTGATTTGAAGCCATTTGCGCATTTTGAAAGGGAAAGAGAAGAGCGTGCGGTGATTCACTTATGCTGTTTGTGAACGTTTTCAAATTACTTTCTTTGTAAGTTATTTAATAAAGAAATATGACCAGTCTACAAATGCTCTAATGAGAGTTAGTTGACATGTAGTTGCAAAGTTACTTACAGTTAGTAGAATGTCTAAAGTGGACTATCGAAATAAAGTGTAACCAAATATGCCTTTATGGATCTGTTAGAATCTAAATAAAAAGCAGGGAGAAAAAACTGAAAACGAGTGAATTCATGCATTATTGTAATGTGCAGATATGTTTATGTATCTTTAAAACCTGACATTGTAAAATAGAACATGTTTGAAAAAAAAATCCTTCATTTTATCAAATGCAACTAAGTTTGAAGAATCACTAATGTTGACACATACTGGTCACTGGATTTGCAGGGCTCTACGCTTACTTCTCTTTTTAGGAGCGCTTGTGCTCCTAATTTAAAAAATTTAGGAGCACGGTCAAAAATTTAGGAGCACCTTCTAATCAATAATCAAAAAAATTCTGATAAAAAAATTAACCTTCCTATTACGAGGTGATATTTGACTCCTTAAAGTGATTTACAGGGAATTTTGTTTTTACCTTTGTAATGGCATTTTTCTATCTTTATTAAAAGCATGCTATCTTTTATGTCAAATTCAAAAAAATATATTTATAAGCTTTTTAAAATTTCTAATAACAAGTAGAATAAGAAGTAGAATAAGTTACCAATCAAATTAAATCAGTATTTAAGAAATAAATGTGTACTAGAGATGGCACAGAACACCACAAAAGTGGCTTGTATGTGTATTTTCAGATGTTTAATGAGGCTCAGAGGTTGCATGAGTGCAATTAAATTCATGGTGAGGTTAATGTTAATCTTTTATTTACACCGTCTACACTTTGCTTATGAAAGGATTCGTGAGATACGTCTGTGATACATTACTCAACGCTGCAAAAACACGTTGTAAACTAAGTACGTTAGAAACATTTGAAGCTCCCTTATCGCAAACATAAATGCTGATCGAGTCAGTCGCACAGGTGCTCCTAAATATTTTTTCATAGTCGCACGCAGTAGTTTCCAGTCGCAAATGCGACTGAAATGGTCGCACTGTAGAGCCCTGATTTGGTGTTAACCCTTTTAATTAATTGTATTAACTGTATTGATTTGCCTACTGTCTTTTTTGTTCATATTGATCCACTGGTATGCTTGTAGCTTACTTGGATTACTTAAAAATTTTGTTTCTACACAGACTCAAGGAAGAACTCTGCCCAGTGAGACCATCTGCTTGCATTCTGCTTCTTTTGTCACCTCTCAGTCAGTAGACTGGTCCAGAGAGGTGGTCCGAGACCCCTCCATCAGCACTGTGAGTCAGCACAATCAGAGAGCTCGGACACAGTGCAAGGTGTTTGAACAAAATCACTGTGAGTGAGTCATTGGTTTGTGGGGGAGTGCACACGTGCAGCCGGCACATGTCAGACTGATCAGAGGTGTACTGCAGAACCTGCATATTTTCAAAGGCTGGAGGTCTCTCACGACAGAAAGAGAACAGCCTTGTTTGGATTGAGTGAAAGAAATGTGTGGATTGAATTCACACATTTTGTTTTGAGGCACATCACACGTAGGTATTAAAGGGGTCATGAAATGCATTTTAAAATTATTTTATAACATTTCCTGAGGTGCACTTACAATCTTAATATGGTTCATCAGAATCAGTAATAATTTAGATACAAAAAAGTCATTTTCTACCCTGAACTTAGCCCTCTGATTTAAATACTCTGTTGGAAAGGCATGTCTGCTGTGAGACTTCATTGTAAACGCCCACTGCTATGATTGGCTAACATCTTTGCGTATGAAATGAGCATGACGTGGAACTCTCTCAAACTATTAATGTGTTTTAACTATAACAGCCGCCAAGATTACCTAATCGTGAAAATAGCATTATATTTAGAACTACTTCAAAGGTTGTAGCGCTGCACTGTAGCCGAACATAGTCGTGTCAACTGAGCACACGATGCAATGATCTCCTTATTGCAATGCAATTTCTGCAATCTCACAAATATTTTCACCATAACTAACACAGTGAAAAAACACATCCTCCTCATTGACCAGTGTAAACTGTCATACAGCTTTTCCTTGGTTTCCGCTGTAAACAAAGCAGCGCTGCGCTTATAAATACTACTTTATTATGCATTATACAGAGGCAAGATGAAAAGAAAATATCATCTAAACTTTTATGAAGACAGTCAGTTCCCCTCAGATACATTCATATAAACCCCCAACTGTATCGCCATTCATTTAACATCTCAACCGACTTGAATCGTCACATATTTTTATCAATTTTTCAACCATTTCGGGGTGCATCTTTACATACCTTCACCGATCACAGATCATGATGCTCATTAAATGCAGTTTCAGATTTTTATAACATGTTTCTCAAGGTTAGTTTATAAAGATTTTTGGCAGCAAAAAAGGTGTTTCTTTACCTAACAGCAGTATCACTCTTGTGATTAATGGACAGACATTAATAAATGTAAGTGCAAGGGGCATGTCAAGGAGAATCGTGACATCACACGATTCCAAATCCAGTGAATCAGAAACATATAGCTGGACCAATTAAGTCTGATTTCTGAATAAAATGACTCTTACAAGCTGGTTTGTTTTAGTGAATCAGAAATATACAGCTGGACCAGTGAATTCTGATTCCTGAGCAAAATGACCTTTATGAACTTGTTCTTTTTTGTTAATCAAAATGAATGACTCTTATTATCTATTTTTAGTGAATCTACAGAATTAGTCTCTGACTGAACTGAAAAGATGATCATTATACTGTAAAAATGATCTTTGGATGTTTTGAACGTGACAAAATCGAAAGACCCAATCAGTCATTCTCTCACATTGCTCTTATGTAGTTCTTTCTATCTATTCGTCTCCGGATTCTTCTCTGTCAGGTCCCTCTGAACTGCTGGGCTGTTTTCTATCCCCGGCGGGCAACTGATCAGGCTGAGGAGCTGGTGACTACTTTTACAAGAGTAGCCGGACCAATGGGAATCAGAATCGAGCGGCCAATCCGTGTAGAGCTACGGGATGATCGAACCGAAACTTTCATCAAGAGCATTCACTCTCAACTCTCCAGTGAGGTGGGGAAGTGAACTACACAGAGAGACGTGGAAAAACTGTGATGAAAGAGCTGTGAAAAGTTTACTTAAGAACATGTTACTCTCTGTGGGCCATGGTTCTTTTGGCTTTGTAGTACATTGAGTATTATCTAAATACCATAGTGTATATATAGTATGTTCTCTCTCCTGGTTTTCAGCCCCGTGTGCAGCTGGTCGTGTGCATCATGACCGGAAACAGAGACGACCTGTACAGCGCCATCAAAAAGCTCTGCTGCATCCAGAGTCCCGTACCATCACAGGTTTCATTAAAACACAATTTCTTTGCATTTTATAGTTCAGTTGCTGTTTATGTAACATATAAACTACCATTCAAAAGTTTGGGGTTGGTAAGATTTTTTAAGATGTTTTTGGAAGAAGTCTCTTACCAGGGCTACATTTATTTGATGAAAAAGCAGTAATATTGTGTAATACTATTTTCTATTTTAGTATATTTTAAAATACAATGTATTCATTTGATGCAATGCTGATTTTTCAGTATTATTACTCCTGTCTTCAGTGGCAGTGTAAAAAGTTAATTTCCTCAGCCTTTAAAACGGTATTGTTAGTTATTTAAATGGTTTTGCCTGAAAGATAATATCTTTAATTCTGATAATGGTTGAGTATTTCCATGCGAGACAGAATATACAGCAGGATGTATATGTAGGGCAGGACCACCTTCACCTTCAACAGTCATTTGTACCGAAATTCAGTTTTGCATCATTTTAATACATTTTTTAATCCCATGTCAGTGGAATTATTTAGCTGTTAATTAGCTGTTTTTTGCCTTGCCTGTTTGTGGCAAACGGCATGTATTCGTATTAGACATTTCATATCATGTCTGAATCTGTGACACTTATTCCCAGGCCATTAACGTGCGGACCATCTCCCAGCCGCAGAAGCTCCGCAGCATCGCTCAAAAGATCCTTCTGCAGATTAACTGCAAACTGGGAGGAGAGCTGTGGACGGTAAATGTTCCTCTGGTGAGTGTGTGCTAATCAGACCTTTTTCCCCACGGATGGCCCTGGAGTTAACATATCGTATGTCACTCTTGATTAAAAAATGCTAAGTAAATATGCTTAAGGAAATACAGCGTGTCAGGAATGAACCTGAAAGTGGCCACTGCGCAGTGAGAACTGATATATGATAGCTAGGTGTGATCCATTTTCTGGTAAATTGTAGTTTTTATTTTTTTAACACATTGATGGTCAAATTTCAATGTTTATTCCTAGGTTCACATCTTGACTTTCTTCTTGAGTATAAAGCTCTGTTCCCCCACATTTAAAAAGAGACTTTATTACCTTGACAACAGCAGCCGCAAACTCATTAATAGTCTCGAGTTGGTGGGAGAACATTTAAATGTCATTAATATTAAAATAGAATTAATATTAAGTCTTTTTAAAACTTTACTTGTTTTCAAACTTTAATTATATTTGTTCACGAAATAACCTGCAATAGATCAAATATGATGTAAAGCATGATGAAGAAAAAAGGCAAAAGTGAACTTAATGCATTATTCCTTTGAATGGTATTGATGTTGGATTGTTGCAGCAAATAAATATCAGCAAATAGTATATTAACTAAAGGGATAACTTCTAACCACTGTAGTTTTCATTTGAACAGAAATACCTGATGGTGATTGGGGTGGATGTTCACCATGACGTAAGCAAGAAGAGCAGATCTGTCATGGGCTTTGTGGCCAGTCTCAACAGGTAAATTAAAACCGCCCAAAACGAATGTTCAGAAGTCTCTTGTGCTCACCAAGGCTGCATTTATTTGATCCAAAAATACAGTAAAAACAGTAATTGTGAAATAATACAATTTAAAATGTCTTTTGCATGATCCTTCAAAATATTTTACTTTTTTTTTCAGGATTCTTTGATGAATAGAAAGTTCAAAAGAACAGCATTTTAAAATATTTTTTTTTGTAATATTATAAACATACAAAATCATATTGATCAATTTATTGTGTCCTTGCTGAATTAATGTATTATTCTTATTATTTTTAATAAAAAAAAGTCTTATTGATCCCAGACTTTTTAATGATAGTGTTACAAACAGACAATTTTCTTCTGTATTATGACATATATCTGAGTGTAACAGGAAAAACAAACAAAAAAACATCTAGGATGGGATTTATACATTTGGTGTTTTGAGATGAGGGCATAACACTCGAAAGTGGAGGCAGATGAACGTAAGATTGGAGATGTCCTGCATATGTCATGAGAGAAGTCTTTAGTTTTCACTGGAAAATCCAGTGACATTTTCATTAAATATTATTAGGTCAAAAAATAAATGCATTTAAAAATGTAACGTACGCATGGATGAACTGTTTACAATAGCATCTATGACATGCATTTACAAAACAGATAGGGTAAATTTTCATTTTATGCCAGTTTTAGATATTGCCCCAATAATAAATTCAATGTAGTAGCTGATGTCTACTAATATAATTGTAACTAAAACTGTAGAAAAACTTGTCAAGCCACTAGCTTCCCCGACAGTGTGACTACAACGAGCTGTTAATATGGGTGCAGAAATGAAAATGTTCTGCTTACATGCAGCAGAGATCTGTGAATCAGGCCTAACCGTTTATTGTCCCGGTGTAGCATGCTGACCAAATGGTACTCCAGAGTTACTTTCCAAATGCCTCACGAGGAGATAATCAATGGCTTCAGAGTCTGTCTGCTGGCTGCCCTGCAGAAATACTACGAGGTAATGAGGCATATCTACAAACTTTAATCTTAATCAACTAAAATAAAGGCTCTACAAGTCAAATGATGGTTGTAGCTTTTTCAAGATGCCACAGCTTCAATCTGTCTCCTAAATGTTGTAGAGAGATGTATTTTACCCATTTTACCCACTTTTTACAAACAGGTGAACCACGCCTTCCCTGAGAAGATCGTCATCTATCGCGACGGCGTGTCAGACGGACAGCTAAAGACCGTGGAGCTTTACGAGATCCCTCAGGTTCTAAAATGCTTCGAGACCATCCCGAACTACGAACCTAAGCTGGCTTTCATTGTGGTGCAGAAAAGAATCAGCACCACCCTGTACTCCTATGGATCAGCGCACTTCGGCACACCCTCGCCGGGAACCGTACTGGACCACACTGTCACAAACAGAGACTGGTTGGTTTACAAGAGCTGAAGCTTGTGCTCCATGTGCAGCCCAGGATTCTGCAAACGGCTTTAGCAACTAGATGTGCAAAGCTTTGCAGAAATGAGATCTAGTCAAGTGCATTAGCAGGAGAAAATAAAATGTGGTATGTGAATTGACATGTTTCTCTTCTCTTCAGGGTGGACTTCTACCTAATGGCACATTCGATTCGACAGGGTTGCGGCCTGCCCACTCATTACATAGCAGTGTACAACACTGCAAACCTCACCCCTGACCACTTACAGAGGTAAGAAATTGATTTGGTTTAGCTTGTATGTATGTATGTATATATGAGCTCAAAATAAACTTAGCTTTCATTTAAACAGAGAGAGCTGTATTACTGTATACAACATTAATGCATTAAAGAAACAGGTAATGTGATATTTATTGTAATGGGTTTATACAAAGATTGTTTTATGGTGTGTTCACACCAGACGCGAGGCGAATATGCGCAACGCACTCTAGATTACTTGCGGGATGTTTTTCGCGTCACTCGCGCTATGTTTTTATTCGCGCGAGTGAGGCGAAAAACATCCCGCGAGTAACCAACCATGGTGAGGATAAATACGATCGCTGCTTTGTACCTGTTGTGGAAGTCCCAAAAACGCCTGAAAGCCAAACGCAGACTTGTCTGGGTTCACAGCACCATACAGAGGCGCACACAACTCAGTGAATTTCACCATCTTCTCCAGGAACTGCGCCTGGATGACAGCCATATAAGAATATGAAGTATTATCATATATTTCGGGGGCCCGCAAGCAGATACAATAATACGCTCCTCCATTTTCTGATTCAAATAGACGTGCCAATAAGCTCTTAGCTGATTGGCTTGCGCGAGAATGCGTCAGGCGAATTTTCCGCTCGAGTTGAAATTTTTGAACTTGCGCGAAAGACGCGATTGAGGCGAATATCTCGCGTTCGCGGCAAACGCGTCGCGCATTTCGCGTCATTGCATTGACTTTGTATGTAATCTACTCGCGCCAATAATTAAATTTGCGTTTGGTGTGAACACACTGTTAGAACCACTTAAATTAAAAGTTATTTTTTTAAAATAATGTTAATAATACTCAAAAATGATGACACATTTTTTGTAATGTTAAAAGTCTAAATTTACCCATTTATCCACAGAAATTGGTAACTGAGGCTTCAGTATTAGTATTGGCAATACTTTCCTTCATTCTTAGTAATTAGTAAAAGATGCCAATAAAATAATTACGTATAATAATTATTAAATATATAAAATATAACATCTTGTTGTTTCTACTTTAATTTGGAGATTCAATGTGAAATTATATTTATGATTACATATTATAATGTTATGTGCAATTAATCACTTATAATTACAGAATTTGACAGCATTTTGACGATTGACAGCACTAATCTATATATTACAATTAAAAGTAAAAAAAGAAGTATGTATCATTCATTTACTTATTTATTTTAAACACAGGTTGACCTTCAAGATGTGCCACCTGTACTGGAACTGGCCCGGAACCATACGTGTTCCTGCACCGTGCAAATACGCCCATAAACTGGCCTTCCTGTCTGGCCAGTACCTGCATTCAGAGCCTGCCATCCAGCTCTCAGAGAAACTGTTCTTTCTGTAAATGATACCTGTTCAGCATCTCAACCAGATGGTAGATTTCATGAGTCTCTGACTTTCGTTCTTGTTTTTTTTTGTTTTTGTTTTTGTTTTTGATTGCTGTTCTTAAAAAGTACTGTTCAGAATGTTCTTTGCATGTCATCCAAAACAACGTCCAAGGTTTTTTTTTTCCTGTAACTCTTAGTTGTTCGTTTTAGTGGAGCATTACTAAATAAAGTGCATGCCACACTTTAATTTTCCCGTGTCTGTCTCATCAGTGATTGTGTGAAATAATGCTCTAGTGTGTAGCAGTTCAGAGCAGTATTCATTCTGTATTAGCGGATTCATTTTTCTTGAGGAAAATGAAAGAACAATTTGATAACACTTAAGATCCAATTGATAGTTTTCAGTCACGTGACTGGTTCGAAGACCTGGCGGGCAAAACATCCATAGAAATGCAGCACAAGACTGTCAATTTTCTATCTGTTCCGATAAGTATTCCAATTCCAAAAGTATTTAGATTACCTCTCAAAGGAATAAAACAAAAGATATGTGAACAAAATGCAAGTTTTGGCCATTAGCAATCCATATAAAGCACCTGTCGCAATATTTCAATCACTAAAAACAGCGGAACATTCTAAAACATTTAATGTGAAAACACTTAAGAAAGTGCCTTTAATTAGTACACACCTTATTGAGGATGCGTGCTTTGAGCAGGCAAGCAAATGAGCCCGGAATATGAACGCAATGCGCTAAATGGTTAAGTGTCTTCTTTATAATGGTTTTCTATGGGAAAACATTTAATATTAAACTTTGTGCATTGCGTTTATATTCTGGGTTCATCTGCTTGCCTGTACAAAGTACTTCAATAAGGTGTATACCGAATTTGGCCTTTAAATATCACCGTCTTACTACATTACTACTAAATGCAATCCTAAAAATAACTGGCGGTCAGTGGAGGAAAGCCTTGTTTTGCTCTCCATATGGGCGTTCCTGTAAGGGTGTGACGTCACGTGAATATATCAATTAGTTAACTACACCAATTAACATGAACTAACAATGAACAATACTTCTACAGCATTTAAGAATCGTAATGTTAATTTCACCAATTACTAATACATTTTAAAATAAAAACTTATATGATAACATTGGTTAATACAGTTAACTAACATAATGACCAATTGTATATTAATAATAGATTAATAAATGCTATAAACATATATTGTGCATTGTTAGTTCATGATAGCTAATGCATTAACTAAGGTTAACAAAAACCTCCCCATTCTAAAAGGCCAAAGGAACAGAAAAAAAGGATCAGCTGAGGATAAATGCATTGGAAATGACAAATGTCTACAAAAAGAATCTACAATATGTCCCTGGAAATCTAAAATAAATTTGGGAACATGCAAGCAAATTGTCTGGAAATTCAGGCACTTTGCATTAGGGTTCAATGGAATTTTGGTATTAATGGCGATAAATTTGTTTCCTCTAGATGTCAGTGTTTTAATGATCACTACATTAAGACTATTTAAACTGGCTAAAATTTATTGTAAAAACTAGTAGTGGAATGTTTCACAGACCATTTGAATAATAAATCAGTAAAAGTCAAACCAGCCGTTAACATTATGTGGCTAGATATGGGATTTTTGTGCGCATCTTGCGGCGAAACATCAGCTCAGCCGGGGATGTATTGGTGGTGCTGTGCGGTGTTGCACGATATTCCCTTAGAAAGATGCACAGCTGCTGTACGGTTCCTGCAATGCGGAGCGCTTTGCCCAGGGTTTGCATGAATTGTTCCGTGGAACCATTTGCCTGTGGCCAGAATGGTGTAATTTTACGGTGATGAAATCCAAGGTACTCTGCATATTTGCTGAAACGATCGCTGTTAAAAGGAGGTCCATTATCCGTCTTCACAATTTTTGGAATGCCGAACATTGAGAAAACTTTATCCATCACCGGGATCACAGCATTTCCTGTGATGGAATAAAGAACTTCTACCACTGGGTAGCGAGAATATTCATCTATGATGACGAGCATGTATTCACCAGTTTGTAGAGGACCATAGAAATTAGCACTGACCTCTTGCCAGGCATCTTCAGGAAGCTTAGACATTTGCAATGGCTCAGAAAGTGTTACTGGTGTGTTGGCATGGCAGGCAAGACAGTTTGTTACCATAACTTCAGCTTTGTTAGCCATGTCAGGAAACCATACCTTCTCTCTTAGGAGGGTCTTTGTTTTCACAATGCCCTGATGAGATTCATGAGCCAGCTGAAGAACTTGGTGCTCTAACGAAGGCGGAATGACAATTCTGGAGAATCTGAGGATTAAGTCATCATTAGGCAGGGCGGTGAGTTCACTGCTGATGCGTTTGTATTTTAGCAGTGTTGGTGCATGTTCCATTGTGTCAGTAATTGAACCCCAGGAGTTAGTGCGAATGAGTGAGCACACTTTTTGGAGGACTGGGCTGTTCAGAGTTTCTTGTTTGATCTGATGGCTTTCGGTGTGCTGTGTTGTGCAAGAAAGTTAATATATTCTTCTGCAACTTTCGTGGCTCGAGTGTTGCATGATGCGGGTGTGGAAAAAGGATGACGAGACATATAGTCTGCAATGTTGTCTGAGCCTTTTCCTGTACTTCACAGTGAAATTATATGGTTGAAGTCTAAGTCCCCAACGCTCAATTCGAGCAGGTGGTTTGGAGCATGGATTATTCCAGATGAGCTCAATGGGTTTGTGATCCGTTATCAGTGTGAACGGATTTCCATAAATGTAAAGGTGAAAGTGCCAGTGCTTCACGCTCTGTTTGACTGTAACATCTTTCAACATCAGTGAGAGCCTTGCTGGCATATGCAATGATGGATCGCTGTCCGTTGTGGTTCTGAAGCAGAATTGCACCTAGACCCACAGGGCTGGCATCAACTATGAGCTCTGTGTCCTTTCTAGGATCAAAGTAGACCATCACTGTGTTACTGGTCAGGAGCTCTTTGAGGTGCTGAAATACTGACTCTTGTTCAGCACCCCATTCCCAGGGTGTGCCTTTCCGTGTGAGCCTTCTTAATGGTTCTGTTACGGTTGCGAAGTCAGGGATGAAACATGAGCAATAGTTGGCTATGCCTAAAAGACTACAATTTTCAGTAACATTTGTTGGAGCACTGGCGTGTTGGATTGCAAGCACTTTTTTGGGGTCAGCAGATATGCCACTGGCTGAGAAGACAAATCCGAAAAATTCAAGTTTAGACTTGTTGAACTCACATTTGCTGCGATTGAGCGTTAGACCCTTTTCTTTGAGCCGTTGGAATAGTGCAGTCAGGCTGCTGTCATGGTCCGCTTGTGTCGATCCATACACTATGATGTCATCACTAAGATTCTTGACACCAGGAATGCCTTGATTGCATTTTGAAATACTTCGGCGTCAGATGAAATGACAAAGTTGAGACGTTTGCACATACACACAGTGGCGCCTGCAGGTGTAGGGCTGTACGCACTGCGAGTACCATGAGCGCTCAGACTGACCTGAGATTTGCCCGCAAACATTTCAGCAGTAAATTATAGGCCCGTGTGTCCCGTATTTCTGTCGACTGAACCAACCATGCCATAAATTATGAATGTATCAGTATTTTGCACGCCAAAGTCAATACGCCAAATAGAAACAGAAAATCGTGCTATACGCACTTTCATGAGATCGGGTTAGCCTACAACAATTAATTTGAAGTCTATTTTACAAATGAGAATACAACGAATTCATGACACATTATCACAACGTTTTGTTGATATTGTGAATGCACACAAATAAAAGTAGACTCTTTACATTTCCGAACGCATAACTCTTACCTTTATGAGCAAAAATTACGGCGTATTTCCCATGACATGCTGCTTTTTGGATGCTTTTATATAGGCCTAAGTGGTCCCTA